ATCAGCTGTCACACTGCATTATTCACCACTCCTATGACAACTTCTACCTACCACCCCCTATACGGATAGTCTCTTCCATAAACTCCTTGAGGACATGAACGATTTCATCTTTTGAATTTGAACCCACAGCACTTAGTACGATGCCTGGACCATAATAAGTGCTTTATGGATGTTCATTCAAGCAGAAATGGGAAATTATGTTAAAGTTAAGTACTTCTGTCAACAGTGAGACAAAACAGTATAGTGCATGGAGTGCTAGACTATGTAGGAAGCCCTAGACTTAAACCCCACCAACAACCCTCACTGTGTTAATGTGGAAAAGAAACCTGAGCTTACTGCACATCAGTTTCCTCATCTGGGTATACTGCCTGTAGCATATACTTCAAAGGGTTGTTATAAACTTCAAATTGAGAGAATGTGTAAAGGGTTTTGCAAATCTTAAAAGCATAGAAAAAATGATTAACACAAACTGTAATGAACATAATTCAATCTTTCATTAGTAAATCAAAGTGAGATTCAGAATTTCTCAGAGTTCTCATCATGAACCTATCTACCTTTTCTTTAAGCAGTCCTATGATCAGTAAAGGGAGCTTACAGTAAGGAACTTCTGTCAATATGGATCTGCATCTTCTCTGTGACTTTCAGTCTTAAAGAGTTATTGGGGGGGAAGGGTGGGGAAGGGACACTGAGAAGTTAAGGGACCTGGCTGAGTTTTTCTCTCTCTCTCCTCTAACTGTTCAGAATTATGAAAAAAAATCTAGCCATTTGAAGTTTTTGATTATTTGAGTTTCTGATAAACAGGACGCTGTGCATGTGTGTGCACAAACACACATATATCTGTGTTAGGGGAGTTAATTTTTCAATTGTGTTTTCATAATGGTTAAGTTAAAATCAATTTACAATTCAAAGGTCTGCATCAATTAGCTCTTTCTTTGGCCTAGTATTGTTCAATATTTTAATTTATGATTTGGATGAAATCATGAAGGGCACGTTCATTAAATATAAGTATGACACAAAACTGGCAGGGATAGCTACTATGATTGATGGCAGAAGCAGGATTCAAAATTATGTTAATAAGTTGGATGGCTGGACCAAAACCAATGAGATGAAATTTAATTGGCACAAATGTATAGTTCTGCTTTGGTTTTAAATAAATTAACTGCACAAATAAAAGAAGGGGGAACATTTCGCTTGTAGGAATTCTTGTGAAAAAGAACTAGAGGGTTTCGTTGACCAGAAGCATAATAAGTAAATAGTGTGATATTGCTATTAATAAAGCTAATGTAAGCATATTGTTCAGAAAATAGTAATTAATCTTCTAACTGTACTCTGAATTGGTCAGATCACAATTATTTTGTGCAATTAGGTGTTACTTCTTTAAAAGAAACAGTACAGAGATGGGATGTTAACGATCATATAGATTTTTTGATGACCTCCATTTTTACCTGCATCAAAAACAGGCTAGCTACTTGGTGACTAATTCTTCTGCCAAGGCAACTTATGAAACAAACAAAATACAAAATGGCCCTCAATCTCTTTGGTCTTTGCAGTGACTGACAGAATGGTGTAAAAGGGGACAGAAGATGCTAAGAATTACATGATTCTAGGAAGTCTATAAAAATTAACACAATGGTTATGATTTTAAACGTGTGAAACTTAGCCTGCAAAAAGTAAAAGAAGGCATATTCCTAGAGGAATCTTGACATTTTCACTACAAATAACAGACAAAAGGAAATTGGAGCTAAATGGAAGGATAGCTCAAACCTTCTCTTTAGTGGAGGAAATAAAGAAGTTGGTTTTATTGTATGTCCAAAGGCAACAAGAAATATTTTATAGGACATCTGACTATCTCTTATGAAATTGACACGTTAACAGACAAGTTACTGTTACTGATGTAGGAACCTTATATGAATCAGCTATCTGTATATACTCAGATCACTAACTTGTTAGAGCAAGGGTAAACATCAATACAAATTATAGGAATACAAATGAGAAGCTGAGGCACAAGTTAAATGAACTCTTAATACTGAAAAATGGGAAATGGGTAAAGGAGCAGACACTGATTCAAAATATAATATTTTCCAAAGAAGTTTAATTAATCAAACATCTACGCTGAGACCAAAAAAGCCGAGAAGCTGCCTTAGCTAGCAAACACTTTATCTCCTTACCAGATGGAGGGGTATGACAGCCAAGGGCAATACCAGTTTAGCATATAAGTCTGTTTATAAAATCTTAAGAATGGCTGAAGATTTTACAGTACTGCTTTATAAAATAATGAGAAACAGCAGAGGATAAAGCAAGTTTATGAAAAGCAGAATGAAAAACCCAATTAATCCAGATCATCCCAAGTGGATTTAAAGTCTGAAATTAGAAGGCTAATGAATAACTGGAAAATGAAAAAAATATTTGTCAAGACTTCTGTAACAAACTCTTTTTATTACACAAATCTGGCTTCTAACATTGCAGTTCCTGATGTGATATAGTACACAAAACAGTATAAATGGAACTAAAGAAAATAAAAATGTAGAAAAGCAATTAAATCAAGTATACATAGAAATAGTCTGCATTGATTCTTAGCTTCCTCATTTATGAGGGGGTTAGGCTAGGCTTTTTTTGGTCATGGATCCCTTTGGCAGCTTGGTAAAGCCTATAAATACCTGAGAATTTTTTTTTAAATAAAATACATAGGGATTACACAGGAAACCAATAATATTCAAATCCAGCTACCAAAAATTTTTTCTACAGGTTTATGGACATCAGGTTACAAATCCCTTGACCATTCAGCCTCTAAGATTACTTCAAGATCTAAATCTATCATATAATAAGACATCTAAAAAAGGGAGAGAACCAAAAACTTGGAGAAAATTTTTAAGGGGTGACTAGGGAAAACATTATAACTACTAACTCACATACCTATTTTCCCTACGCGGCAAAATTTTATGAGAATAATCTTTACATCTCTGAAGAGCACCCTTGAAAGTAAAAGTTTGAGAAGGGTACAAGCAGTCTTTTGCAATCACAGTCAACAGCAAACCACATCATTATAGTCATACAACTGACTGAAAAGAGTAGAGAATAAAAGGCTCCTCTGTGCTATTTGCTGAACAGTTTTAACAAGCATCTGAGCAGGCAGAACAAAATGCTGCTTTAAAGGTTCTCCTCCAAGAAAAGTGTGTCTTGTACATATGTCAAAATCATACAAGATTCCTTAAAAGATACAAAGGATAATTCTGTTTGATGATCCTTATTGATGATGTTATTAACAGGAAATTAGACATAAAACAAAGAAGGTAGAGACTGCAAAAGTCATTTACCCTCCTCATAAGAGATGTTTGGTGCAAAGTCCAAACTGAAAGGGGATGCCCTATAAACAGTGGATACTTCCGGGTGCTCCTGTTTATGGACGATGCAGTATTCAGTGCATCAAGTCCTACACCACTGCGGAATCTTCTAAAATAAGAGCCAGAATCAGGAAACACACACACACACACACACACACACACACACACACACACACACACACACACACACGTCTGAATGCAATAAATATTTCTGAAGTCCAGGGTCAGATTTTCAAAAGTATAGGTGATTATTCCAGTTTAATGGATTAAAGAAATTTAATAGCTGACATTTATAGAACCTTTAGATTTACAAAGCACTTAACATATATTACATCATTTAATTCTAATTACCTTGTGAGACAGGGGATATCATTACCCCCTTTTATAAATAAGAAACCTGAGGCTCCGAGACATTAGTGATTTCATATTTCCTGATTACCTCCCCCAAATTATTTAACTACTTTGTATAATTATTGTTATTAATAATATATTAATATATCATTAATAACACTCTATTATATAATGCACACACAGCAACAGAGAAATTATTAACATTATTTGTACTATATATGTACTATAATATCATATTATATATATATATATATATATATATATATATATACTATGAAATATAATTTGGGAGACAGGATACTATTTGTTAGATGAAGATAATAAGAAATATAAAATCATTAATATCTCTGAAACTCAGGTTTCTTTCTGTAAATATAAATACATACATTTTATGCACGCGCGCGCACACACACACACACACACACAAAGTAGTTAAATAAAATGTAATTTGGGAGAGAAGATATTTCCAAATATGTGTATATACAGATGTGTATGCATGTATATGGGTGGATAGATACATGTATGTGTAAGAGCACACATATTTTGTACCAGCACAAAAATATGATTGCTTGTGTGTGCATGTATGAATTTATGTACATACATGTACATTTACATACGTATTTCTGTGTATATGTGTGTGTGTATACACATATATGCGCATGTGCATACATGTACACACACACACACACACACACACATATATGTATATATATCTATACACGCTCACCCGTATTTCTCCACTTGGAATACAAGCTCCTTGCAAACAAGGACTATTTATTTTTAGTATTTACATCCCCACAGCACCTCGTACACTTTCTAGAACACAGGATGTACTTAACACATGCTTGTTCGTTGATCATTGACTTACTCAAGGGTTACAAGTGTCAGAGGTGGATTGAAAAGTCTTCCTGACTCCAAACTCAGCATTCTATACATCATGCCATGTTGCCTAACATATGTCCATGTCTACAGCCTTGTAATCAATCACATAAATTCTATGTGTAGTCTTGTGAATTATTTCCCACTTCGGCTTCATAATATGGAAAACATAATGTCATTACTTGATTTTCACTCACAAATAGGCAGGTATTCATATAGATGCCAATTGCTACACCATGCAATAATGAGAAATATTGTAATAGCAGGGAATCAGTACAAAAATTCATTTAAGAAGCAAAGTAAAACAAATAAAGTGCCAATCATAACAGCAATAATAATACTGAGAAATATTTCAGTGCTGAACACAGACAACATATTTAATATGTCCAATTTAATCAACTGACATATATATGTATAAATATACTCCACCTTTGACCGAAATGTTGGATGGACAAAGTAAACTGCTTTCAAGTTCCTCTTGTATCTGATTTAAAAAGAGGAAAAAAAAGTGAGTCCCATAAAAATGTTAACTATTTTCTTGAATAACTAAAGACATTTAAACACCGAAAGTAAAAAACTTTTCATAGCTCTGATTCATGTCACTGAGATTCAAGCCAAGGCTTAAAACTAATGATATGGAGAGATATTTTGAGATCTTTTCATGCTTCTTTTATAGGACAATATTAGATATAATTTCCAACTCTGTTAGTGAACCCTCCGGAGGGACAAACTATACTGTAGGACCTACTGTAAAAAAAAAAATAAACCCTGAAATATCACAGCCAAAAATGAAAACAGATTGAGAGAAAGGTGGAGGTAGAGAGGGGAAGAGGAGAAGGAAAGGAGGGAGAGAGAGAGAGATGGAGAGGACAAAAGAGAAGGACAGGGAGGAAGGGAAAGAGAAGAGAAGAGAAGAGTGAATGTGTGTGTGTGTGTGTGTGTGTGTGTGTGTGTGTGTACAGGTAGGTAGGATGGCTAGTCTCACCTTAAGGATATGGCAAGCACGTTTTGAAGCATCCCAAATTAGTATTAGTTTAGGCAATAATTATGATTAACTAATCATAGATAATAACACAATAACCATACCATTATAGTATAACATCAAACGCGACATTTTACACATTAAGAACTTAGAGACATCTAATGCCATTCTTACATCTCACAGGAGAGAATATAATGAGGTTTGAAATGACCAAGGTGCTATAGTTACTTAACAGTAGTACTAGAACTAGAATTCAGGTTCTTGACAGTTTGGGACTACCTCTTTGCCACAGCCAGACGTCTTATTTTATACTTCAGTCTAAGTGCTTGGATCAAGATCAATAATAATCAACAAACATTTATTAAGTACCTACTGTGTTCCAGGCACTCTGCTAAGAGCTGCAGATACAAAAAAAGGGCAAAAGATAGTCCCTGCCCTCAAGGAACTCACAATCTAATGGGGGCGAACAACATGCAAACAAATACATACAAACTGTATGCTGATTTACAAATAGGAAATAAAAATAGAGATTTAAAATTAAAAGAGATTTAAAATAATAAAGAACTGAAAAGGGTTAGAGAAGGCTTCCTGTAGGATTTCAGCTGGGACGTAATGGAAGTCAGGAGGACAGCTAGAGAAAATACGTGGGGCTGACAGAGTCTTGTTGGTGAAACAGCCAGGAAGCCAGTGTTACTGAGGAGTACTTGTTAGAAAGTAAGATGTAAGAAGACTGTAAAGGCAGGAGGGTACTAGGTCATAAAGGGTTTTGACTGCCAAACAGAGAATTTTGTATTTGTTCCTAGAAGCAATGGGGAGACATCTGAGTTTACTAAGTAGGGGAGTGATATGGTTAGACCAGCTATTTAGGAAAATCACTTCAGTGGTTGAGTAGAGTATGGACTGGGGTGGGGAGAAACTTGAGGCAGAAAGACCCACTAGCAGGCTAATGCAATAGTCTGTGTTAATATTAAATATTTCCATCAGTTTCACAGATGAAATTTTAGGTCTGAATCCAAGATGGAACATCAGAATTTTTAAGTTTAATATCTTTTTCTACTGACATGCATTATGTTTTCGTCAAAGTAATTTAGCTTTTTGGGGTCCACCTGTAAAATAGGTTCAAAATATTAAGAAAAGCATTTAATGTTATCTGTTCTCAGGGCATTCTTTATTACCAGATCTTATACACTCAAATGGATATATGATCTCATTGATGTGTGCATTCTTCCCAACAATGCAGATCATAGTTCATTCACGCTAACCCAGACTGTTCAGCTCTTATTCATGTCCACCAGAACACCACAGTAGATCACCATCTACTAAACAGGTCAGGGTCCTTCCTTGTCTTCTCTTAACATCGTAAAGATACCAGTGGAGCACACAGGCTGTTTATTACTTATCATCTGCAGTTGCAATGTGACCAGATCATCTTCTTTGTTTACATATCTATTTGATGATGGTTATTTTGTGGGTATGTAATGGACAGTAACTTAAACCCTTGATGTCTTGTCTTTGAAAACAGCATGAAAACCGTTATCACATTTTCAACGTGGCAGTTTTAAATGGGTCAGCCACCACAAAGAATTTTTTTTTTAGTTAGGCCACAAACACATACTATGTTTACCTTAAGTTATTTTCATCAACTATCATTTTTTTCTGCCCACCTCCAACAGATACCCTAAGGCACAGACACACCCCCTTTCCTACATGTAGAATATTCTACTTAGTGTGAATGTTGTTATGCCTAAAGAACTGTAATGGCTCTTAGAAGGCTTCTGGTCCCAGTCCCTTTCCAATGCAGGAATCCTCTCTACTACACGCCTGCTTGGTGGTCATTCGCTTCACCACTCTGAGTGGTGGAGATTTAGACATCTTCCAAAGCTGGACACCTTATTTTTTCAACAGCTCCATTGTTAAAAATTTCCTCTATAAACTGAGCTGACAATTCGTCCTCTTAAAGCTTGTTTGTACAAAGTTGTTTTCAGATTGCCTTCTCATTGTTTGTGCTCCTTGAGAGTAAGGATTGTCTTTTGCCTTTCACTGTAGCTTCAGTGCTGAACACAGTGCCTGGCACACTGTAGGCATTTAATACATACTGACTAATGCCAGACATAAACAATTAATAAAAATTATACATATGACTGTGTAATTGCAGTTTTAATTTTTAGTAAAATTTTTAAATTCTAAAAATCTTCAAATTGAGTTTATGTTGGGGAGAAGGCTTCATAATAAGGGAGGTTAATGCAGTCTATGTGAGACATTTATATATATGTATATATATGTACATCAAGCATGCTTTCTTCTTGTCATGCGGAGAAAGTAAAGGTTTTTTGAGAGTATAAAATAATATAAGAGAGAGAAGGGGAGGAGAGAGCGAGACAGAGTGAGAAAGAGAGTGCAAGACAGAGTGTGAGAGAGTGTGAGAGTGAGTGAAGGACCACCGTCCAACTACCCCACCTTCATTAAAAATAAAATGAGACTAACTTGTTATCAACAACGTCATAGAGTTTCTTCAGGAAGTCGGAGTCCAGGTGATTGTATTCACTAGTAAGTGTGTGAAAGTATACTAAGACATATTCTTTTACAGCAATGTGATCCATTACATGGATAAAATATAACAGAGCCTGAAAAAGATAGAAGGGGGAAAAAATAAAGGTTATTTTTGGAATAATCCATTTTAATGAATCACATGGACTTAAAAGCCTTGAGGTGTTACCTAATATATATATCTCCTGTCATCCAATCAGGCCAATAGGAATCAAGCTTACTTTTAAAGCTCCCCAAGGATAAAAACCATTCCAATGTTTAACAACTATCATACATACTACTACAATGTATTTCTTTTTAATCTCTTATTGGTGTTGAAATATCAATTCCACATATTTGAAAAGTTACTGGGTTTCTAACTATATTTCTCTTATCTAAGCTAAATAATTTTATTTTTGCCATTTTCCTGCAATGCATTATTTTTCTAATCCTTTATTATCTTTTAAACTTTCTACATTTCTATTACATGTCCATATGACTCTTATGTGACCAAGTACTACCTTAAAAGAACATATTAACTGGTATCAGTTCAGTTTGGGGCCAGTTTTTATTTACTATCTTTAATAACAACATTGAGTTCAATTTGAACCTACAGATGCTAAGTTGAGATTTTTAATACCAAAGAAAACTAGGATTTGAAGTCACAGAGCTAAATTAAGACAAATATTCCATCACAAATAGGATGAAATTTAAAAGAAGTATAAAGACAAAATACATAGGTACAGTATAATATGGGATGATTCACTAAAAAATGAAAAAGCAAAGGTTGGCAACTTTAGCAGTTATTGTGAATTGGATACTGATTAGTACTGTTTATGTTGGTCTTTAGGAATAAGAGAAAAGCTCAAACAACCAGCCTGGAGTGGGGAAGTTGGGCTGCTTTTAAATTCCTATTAATAGGACAGAATATTGTATACATTATAAGATACAGTCTGTATCAGCTATGTTTGTTTCTTTTTCAAAAAGGAGAATTTATTCTGGAGAGCATAAAAAATGATTATTATATAAAAATTAAATGGCATCCATAAAAATTTTTAAAGTTTCTATGAAGTTTTCAAAATATGTATTTATTTTGTTGGAGTGAATTTTTCATCTGAAATTAAAATATAAATTTAAAATGATATATTTTAGATTATTCATATATCCTGTTCCCTCTTTCATTAGTTTCAATGATCAACAATGACCATAAATCCTTAAGACAGGTAAGATCTGAATATGATAAATTTACAAACCAAAAAAAAAAAAATCTAACATAGGCTTGTTATCTCATTTCAATAGCAAAGCAGTTGTATACACACACACACACACACACGTAATATCAAAGGTCTTTCATTCAATTTTCATTACAGTATAGCATCAAATATGATATTTTACACACTAAGAACTTAGAATACTCCTCAGAGACAAACAGGTCTGCCTTACAACATAAGTACTGCAATTAATGAGCATATAATTTATGAGTATGAATATATTCTCCATCACAGCACTACCTTGTCCATATCTATTAATGTTACAGGAATGTTTCTTCCAACCACCACCATCACTGTGCGACCACAATTATCCACACCTACAAATAGGGAATATACATTAACAACAGTAACAAGCTAGTATTTCTATAGTGCTTTAAGATTTTGACATTTTATACGTGTTCACACTCATTTGATTCTTATCACAATCCCATGAGGTAGGTGCTACATGTACCTTGTTTGTATACAGTTGTTTCCGTCTTGTGCTCCCCACTAGATTTTATGCTCCTTGAGAGCTGGGTTGTCTTTTGCCTTTCTTTGACTCCCCAGCACATTTTACAGATGAGGAAACTGAGGCTGAGAGAAGTCAAGTGATTTGCCCAGTGTCACACAGCTAGTATGATCTGAGGCAAAATTTGAACTCCAGATTTCCTGACCCCCAAGTGCTACATTTCATCTACTAGGCTGAGGAGCTGCCTCAGGGGTTGATTTTTAGCTCATTACTGGTTCTAGTTTGAACCTCTTTTGCTCTGATGCATCTTTTAGAGTGTGGAGATGGTCCTGAAGGCCAGGACAGCAGGAAACATCAAGTTTGCTCAGGTCTGATCAAGCCAGAAAGGCTTTAGTGTAGACCTTATGACAGAAGCTGTGTCTATTGTCTGAGAGGCTAGACTCGCCAAGTCTTGAGATGCTCATCACCTGCTTCAACATAATGCATTTTTTGGCCACAGAAACTCACAAGGATCTTTTTCTTTTTATTGGGTGGGGTGGAGGAGCGCAGCTGTGATCCACATTTGGTAGAAGGACCACCTTAAAGTCAATGATTGTGCTCTATCAATTGTAAACTATATTTCCAGGTAGAGTTGAACAGTACATAACTCAGTGGATTCCTCTAATTACCCTCTTCCAATAATTTATATTCTTTAGACCAAAGTATTTAGGAGGCAAATTCTTTAAAGCAAAAGTCTTCAAGTCATGTCAAACATGGGATTTTTAGAACACTGAGACTGTTCTATATAATCACAGAATTTCACAGATGTAAGGGACTCCAGCAGCCATCCAATAGAATTCATTCCCAAGAAATATTTTCCTTAACATCTTTACTGTCATCCAGGCTCTGTCCAGAGATCTCCAAGGAGAAGGCACCCACTAGTTCCTGATGCAGTGATTTACAGTTTGGCATAGCTCTAATCTTTAGGAAATTTTTCCTTACCTTGACCATAAATTTCCCTTCTTACAATCTGCACCAATTTTTCTGGGCTGCTCCTTCTAAGGACAACAACTTTTCTCTTCCCCAGGCTGAACATCTTCATTTCCTTTAACCAATCCTCACACGGCATCTACCTGAAGGTCTTTATAACCTGGCTGCCCTCCTCTGAACATGCTCCAACATATCAATGTCCTAAAATGGGGGTACTCAGAAATGAAAAAACAAAACCAAACAACAACCCCCTCCCCCCAAAAAAACCCAAACCCATTCCAGATTTGGCCAGACAAGGGCAGTGCGCAGCAGAGTTTTCATCTTTACCCAGAGGTGGTTGTTCAGTCATCCAGTTGTGTTCGACTCTTCATGACTCTGTGGTCGAAAGCCAACACTGTCCATGCGGTTTTCTTGGCAAAGATACTGAAGCAGTTTACCATTTCCTTCTCCAGCTCATTTTACAGATGAGGAAACTGAGGCAAACAGTGACTTGCCGAAAGTCACACTGCTAGTAAGTGCCTAAGGCCAGATCTGAACTCAGGAAGAAGAGTCTTGCTGACTCCAGGCCTGACACTGTATCCACGGTGCCACCTAGCTGTCCTTTCAGACTTCATATTTATTACTACTAACATTGCATCTTAATAGAGTCAGCCCAAAGTTCTAGCCTGTCAATATTTTTTTTGGATCTGGACTTTATCATATAGTGCACGAATTATTCCCTTAGCTTTATGTCATCTGCAAAATTAACGAGCATGCCATGTATGCTTTTATCCAAGTAATTTACTAAAGTGTTAAATAGCACTGAAATCCTTTAGACACTCTGCTGGAGAGCTCCTTTCAAGCTGGTTATCTAGCCATTAACAGCTACTCTTTGGATTTAGGCAACTAGTTCCAAATCTATCTAACTGTATCATTTAAACTCACATCTCTCCATCTTTTCACAAGAAGAACGTGAGACTTCATCAAGGGCTTTGTGAAAACGTAGGCAAGCTACATTTACAGAAATCTCCTGACCTACCAATTTAGTGACCGAGTGACTCTGCTAAATAGGAAATAAGTTCAGTCTGCTCTAAACTGGTTTTGCTAAACTTCTGCTGGATGTTTGTGATCTAAGCTTTCTTTTCCAGATGCTCACTAACCATCTCTTTAATAGCGTGTTCTTAGAATTTTACCAGGAATCAACATTAATCTCATTGTCCTAAAGTCTGTAGACTGTTCTTTCCCCCATTCTGGAAAATCTGGACACCTCTGCCCCTTCCAGTTCTGCAGTACCTCTTCTGACGATGGCTCAGCAATCACATCTGCCAGCTTTCAGCATCCGGGATCTAATTTGTTTGGGACAGGTGCTGAACTCATAGGGGGGACCTTGGAGGCCTCTTACTATTTCCCTACTTATCTTGAGCAGTAGTTTCCTATCAGTCACTTCTTTTCTGTTCTTTCCAAATCAAGTCAATCTCCACGGCAAAGAAAACAGAAGCAAAATAAGACATAGATACCCCCCAGACCCCGCCACCATGTGCTATGAGACCAGACTCCCTGAGCAGTGGTTAAGGGTCCTTTTCCTTTTTCAAGTGTTCTTGGCTTTCCCTGCTAGCTGCTCCCCGGACTAAGTTTTAGCCACCCAAATACTACTTTTTCCGAGGATAATCCATGTTATTTTATGAAGCTACTCTGACCTGCCCCTGCTCCAATCTTCTGTACTGCGCCCTTTAAAAATCTAAAGTGGGGAAAAACAAAGCTATGATGGCTAGTGAGGTCCCTAACTGTCCACGTTGGCCTCTTTATCCTTATTCCTCTTTTGCTTCACTGGAATTCTTTCTATTATCTCTATTTTGGTCTTCTGAAAGACTCTGAATCAGACAGGGATTACAAAGATTGCAGGTTAAGATCTATAAGTGGCCTCCTGTTCAATAGGACTACTTCAATATAACATATCAGTCTAAAATTCTTATTTATGACCTATGAGAAGGTGGCACTTAAAGCAGATAATGTGATAATTATTAAATGCCGTCATCTATCATCAACGAAAACCGGTTATTAAGAAAATAAAACGAAGCAAGGAATGAAAGAATATAAATTATGAAAGATGCAAATGGACTGAACAAACAATTGAGTAAGACAGACATATGAAAATCTAAATCACAAAAGGTAGAAGGAAAGTCTCTATTGTAATGGTAAAAATGTCTAATATTTTAAAAAAAAGGAAAGGAAAAGAAGGGTCAACAGAGGCACTGTTATAAGAGAAGCATATAATAACATTTCTCAAAGGCTCTAGGGAAAACATGTTTTGAGTTTATCAATCTATTTTTTTTTAATATAGGACCTGTATTTAATTGGTATACGGAACTTCCTGTGAGGGAAACCCATCCACTAATGCTCATCTGGATATTCTCTGCAACTTCTAGAATACTTCCTGGGAGCACGGAAAGGTTCAACAACTTGGCCCAGGTCACGCATTCAGGATGTCTCATCCACAACGAAGTCAGCTAGATGCTGCAGTGGATAGAGAGCTGGGCCTGAAGTCAGAAGACCTGAGTTCAAATCTGGCCTCAGACACTCATTAGCTACATGGCCCTGGGCAAGTTACTCAATCTCTGTTTCCTCAGTTTCCTCAATTATAAAATGGGAATAACAATAGTACTCCCTTCTCAAGGTCGAGAAATCAAATGAGATCTTTGTAGTGCACTTAGCACGGTGTCTGGCACACTGCAGAAGCCATAAAAATGCAAGCTATGATGATGCCGACATCAAAGGCTGAATAAAAACCCAGATATTTCTGACTCCAAGCCTGATTCTCTCACCACTATACAATGCTACTTGTCGTATTTTAATAGTGTTTAATAGTGTTGTTTCAGGGAATAATTTTCCTTAAAAATGAGGAAGGTGACAAAAAATAAAAACTGGCCCAGGATCAGATTTAAGCACTAGAAGGGACTTTAGATATAATCTACTCCAATACCTCTTTTCTTAGAAGAAGAGCTAAGGGGGAAGAGGTCCAGTAACTTGTCCAAGGTGACAGAGCTAGTAAGTAGCAGAAGTAAGATCTGAATCTGCACCCTCTGACTTTAAATGTACTGCTCTTTTCACCATTCAACATCATTGCTAAAGACAATGGGTCTTTACTTTGTAGTATAGTTCTTATTACCTTATTATTTATTTTCATAAGAATCTGAGCATACGAGCTATAGAGACAGGAACACATTGCCAAGCCTAAATTCTACATGTCTATGAATAACAGAAGGAATGAGAGAATCAGGTGTGGTTGCTTAGGAGGAGAAATACTGGTACCACCCAGTAACAATCAGCTTGGCTAAAGTACATTTTGCAGGCCAGATCTGTTTTAGGGTCAAAATGATGCACAAAGATGAGGCATAAGGTTTAAACACTGCAGAGATAAACTGGAGGAAGACCCAAAAAAAGTTAATAATTAAATAGCATGCTGGGCTCTAAACAACCCACCATGTACCTAAACTTACCTGTCTGGTACAAGGCTTTTAAAGAAGCAATATCAGATAGATCCTCAGCTCTTGCTTGACATAGCCAGCGATTATAACTAGAGAAATAAAGGATATATTCTTGTTAGTTTGAATATACCCGATAATAGTATATGCTAAATTTATAAATGTTTCCCTCAACTAAATGCTTCTCCTTGCCCCCTGTCAAATGAAATGAGATGACATGGCTGGTAGGCAATGAAATGAGCTGAAGGGAGTGCCCATAATGATGAGCTCAAAGTCACCAAAATATTAATTGCTAATAAAAAATATTCCTCGCGGGGCCGCTAGGTGGCGCAGTGGATAGAGCATCAGCCCTGGAGTCAGGAGGACCCGAGTTCAAATCTGACCTCACACACATAACACTCACTAGCTGTGTGACTCTAGGCAAGTCACTTAACCCTAATTGCCTCACCAAAAAAAAAAATACTCCTTGGGAAAAACCAAAACTCTGATGTTTTACTGAAGTGATTATGAGATTGGAGTATCAGAGTACAAAGAGATCTGATATATCATATGTTCAACACTCTCATCGGTGACTTGTCTCAAGTCACAAAGGTTAAAATTCCAATCCAGGTCCTCTGACTATTTTAAATACAACATTCTCCTCACTCTACCAAAAGTAAACATTCTACATAATAGAGAAAAGCTAGAGGGCTTTCCAATAAGATCAGGGAAACACAAGGAAACCCTAATTAGTACAAATGCTATTTAACATAGAGTTAGAAATGCTAGCTATAGCAATGAGACAATAAAAAGAAATTGAGGGGATAAGCAGAAGCAAAGAGAAAACAAAATTATCACTTTCTTCAGGTAAAATGATAGCGTACTACTTAGAGACCACTGAGAATTAATGAAAACATCAACTAAAACATTAATTGAAATGATAACCAGTAAAGTTGTGGGATATAAGATAAATCCACACCAATTATTAGCTTTCTTATATTATAATCAAGAAAAGCCAGAAAAAGAACAAAAAAAAATCCCATTCAAAATAAATGCAGAAGCTTTAAAATACTTGGGAGTGTATTTTCCCAGATTCAAATGGGGATTATGAGAATTTAACTATATGAAACACTATTTGCAGAAATAAAGACAGACTTAAATAACTGGAGAAATAGTAATTGTTCAAGATTATGTTGAGCCTCTATACATACATGGATGTGTATGCATGGATAGGCACGTGTGTGTATATACATACATATACAATACATATATGTGCACATACACATACACACGTATGTATATATGCATATAAGCATGTATGTGTATTGAGGGATTTAATTTGAGGTTTTGAAAAAAATTGCTTAATGGAGAATAGAGGGAAGGACAATTTTTTTTAAGTAAACTGGAAAAAAAAAAGGGAGGGGAGGAGGGCAATGAAGAGAGATGTAGTCCAGGTACAAGTTGGCTATAACACATCACCAATAATAAAGTAAAAAATACCATATAGGAAATGTCTGATTAGAAAATGACATAGACAAACCAAGTGATAGACAATTCAAGTGCTACAGTGGTAATCATATAATGTCAAAAGACCTAGGAGAAGACTGGTTAGATAAATCCTCTTTGGAAGATTAATGGGAGAACGTGGACAAAAGTCAAATGAGATGAGATGGCATGGCTGGTAGGCAATGAAATGAGCTGAGGGAAGTACCCACAATGATGAGCTCACAGTCACTAAAATATTAATCCACAAAGACTCTACTACTTGGCTAGAAAAATTTATTGAATTTTAGCTAATATCTTCCCACATACAATGTCAATTATACTACACTGGACACTATTCACATAGAGACAGTAATTAGCGAAGAACTTTAAAAGTAGATATTTAAATAAGCAGTTTTGAACAACATTTCTTAGTGTGGTAGAAGCAGTGATATTACTAATACTAGTGCAACCCATTTCTTCCAGCTGCTAGATCCAACTGCTATAAGGCCACTAACAGAAAGTGAGAAATTAAAAGGTACAGCAACAAAACGATTTTAAAATAAGCTGAGTGCTAGGCTAAATGGCCTAGGGACAAACTCTGGCTAAAGGATCATTTCTTTGGCATGTTTCTAGTCTCTAAAGTGACAAACGATATAAACCAGAGCTATCAGGCTCTTGAAACTGCCAAGAAGTATCAACGGAGGGGAAAAATGATGACACAGAATACATTTCAGCTGAGAGTCTAAAAATCCTATTATCAAGAAAAATGATTCCTGCTTTGCTGATAGAAAAATTAAATGCTGGGAAGTAACTATATTTTGCCCCAAATCATGCACTTAATCAGCATTACAAATGGATAAAATCTCTAGGAACTTAGATTTATTCACTTTGAATTTATAGATAACATGCCTAATTTCTTCAGCTGTGAAAAAGAAATGATGCTTAGTAAAGTCTTGTGGAGCAATACATACGATACATTACAATGTGTGATTTATGATGCAGTGAATTTAAATGTCATTAAGTTTAAAAGGAGTGAAACAAACCTACCACTACTAGTATTTGACAAAAGGATTATTTGTTGTATGGCCCAATCAAGTCCTGTTTATGATAAAATACACTCATTTCTTCTAAGAATATCACTAACTGAAGATCCTTGTACTTTAGAGATGGGGGAAAAATTACATTTTAGGAAGTTAAAAAATGTTTGGGATAATCTACTCAGATATGGTCAACATCTCGTCACTATTCAAACCAGTCATTTATTAAACACCTATTACAGCTGTGTTTTGATTAGCATGAAGCACTATTTGAAGCTATAATTATGTAAAATATGGTTACTGGTTCCAGGCCAATGGTAATATAAAACGTGGATTCACATATTTTAGAAGATTCCCTATTTGCCCTAAATGGGACCCAGCTGTAGATGCTAGGCAAGAGGTACCTGGACCTTGGTGGACAGAAAGGCAGGCTTAAAAGTGAGGAGGATCTAGATTCACGAGATATCTTTGACACATACTGGTTGTGTCATCCTGGGCAAGTCACTTAACTCCACTGGGCTCCAGGCAAAGTAAATACCAATTTATACTGATAAAAAGGAGTGTTCTCACTGGGAATTCTTAACATCAATGACATTTTTAAGCCGGTTTTCTTTAAACAGGCAAAGTACAATGCTCATTAAGAGAAATTATGGTCTCTCTTTAGCAACTGTGTGATACGGCACATAGTAGGTACTTCGATGCTTGCTTGACTGTAGGATTTAGAACTAGCAGGCACATAAAGGGTCATCTAGTTCAGCCTTTTCATTTCACAGACGATCAAGCTGAAACGCAGACATCTCTTACTTCAATGCCAGGCACGGTGCTAAGCAGTGGAGCTAGAAAGCAAAAAAATAGTCTGTGCTCTCAAGAAGCTCCCAGTGTAATGGGGGAGACAAATGCAAACAACTATGTATAAACAAAATAATACACAGAACAAACCGGAGATAATCTTGGGAAGAAGGCACTGAGATTGAGGAGGGCTGCAAAAGGATACTTGCATAAGGCGAGATTTGAGCTGGGAACCCAGGAGACAGGGATGAGGAGGGAGAGAATTCAAGGAGGAGTGGACAGTTAGTTATGCACTCAAACTAGCACATAAAAATACTACGTATGAAGAGATTTATAATACAGACATCCTGTAATCTCAAAACTTGGAAATAAGAAAAACACACAAGCAGAAGACCAGATATTCACTTTAACTATCAACTTTTTAAGTTGAAGATGGGGGAGGGGGAGTGGCGGGGACAGTCAGCTATTCACTCAAATTAGTACATAAAAATAATAAACGTCAAGAGATTTATAATATAGGCATTCTGTAATCCCAAAACTTTGAAACAGGAAAAACAAATAAACAGAAGACCAGAAATTCAATTTAACTATTAACTTTTAAGCTGAAGACGGTAACAAGTTTTCCTATTTTTGAGGCCTTCAAAGAACCCAAGAATATGGTGGCAGCATCACATGAAGCTATTTACTAGCGCCATCTAGAGGCTTTTAATGTTTCTGTATGATTAAAGCGGACTAAAAAAACAAACACCAAAGTGAAGATGGAATTAAGGATTTTTATATAAACAGATACATTTAGTAAAATATGAATATGCTGCTGACTAGAAAGTCTATTGAACCTAATAGAAGATGGACAAATGGCTGCTTATGTACAAATTTACGTCAATTAATGCTGCATGTAACAGTGAAACAAATCAGTAAAGTAGAATTCATATTGTGAAAGCAAGTACTTTGCTGGGTACACAAACAGAACTGTATCATAGTGTATTTTTCCATTTGCATCATGATGTTATGAAAGTTGGAAAACTGGGAAGATTTAGAAATATAAAAAATGGCTAGAGTCAAAAAGTAGTATCTATATTGATCATATCATACAGAGACGAGAAAGTTGAGAGTTCACTCAACTGTCTTTAAAAGTATATGAAATTTGTGACATGGTAAAAGGCAGTAACATTTACTTACGGCAATTATTTTAAACTATAATACAACCAATGTTCCCTGTGATGGGAAGAGGGGAAAGCCTACATAGTTTTTCTATTCTAAGATTATCTCGGAAAACTAATATAAATAATCTGCTAATAATAGTACTCTCTGTTGAGTAACACAGTAACTTAGACACATATTTAGGGTAAGATATTTATATGAAATATGTTGAGTATAATCCTACTCTGATATTGTTTGATGACTATAAAAAAGAAATCTGATTTGATAGAGCCACACACCATCGGTTTTCCTTTCCAACCAGTTTTCTCCCATATATAACAGATAACCTTGTTCAACAACTCGTCTAATTGTTGATATCGGGTGAATCATAAAACAGGGACATATATTTTCACCAATATTATGTCAAGATTACATGGAAGAGGGATTCCTTGCAGATGGTGATTCTATGATTCTCTTTATGGATGACAGTTGTATTGGCTGCATTAAGCCCTAGAATAATGCAGAGGCTGATGGATGAAATTGAAAATCATTCAAGAGAGTATGGCTTGTCATAGAAAAAGCCAAGAAAGGACAGCTAGGTGGCACAGTGGATAGAGCACCAGCCCTGAAGTCATGAGCACCTGAGTTCAAATCCAGCCTCA